ATTACTAGTTGCCTCTGTGGATGTGTAGGTTTTGACTTTAACATAGCCATTCCTGTGACCAGTCACAAGCTAATCCCTCAGCTATTTGATATGTAAACCCCTTTGTCAAGGTGCCTCACTTCTCCCAACCAGCTTAGAAGTCGCTACGAATCTTAACATCGTTCATTGAAGCTCTGTCGTCCCGACAGGTCTGTAACCTTTCACCTGAAGACGGCCGCTTGCGTTGTGGCCGAAACGTCGTGAGAATTTTATTGTTATTTTATTATTTCATTCTCATTCTACGTAACTTTACCGAAAGAACCAAAGAAGAGTCTATGGGTCTCTGAGTGATGAGTCTGTGGGTCTCTGTGTGGTGAGTCTGTGGGTCTCTGTGTGGTGAGTCTGTGGGTCTCTGTGTGATAAGTCTGTGGGTCACTGTGTGGTGAGTCTGTGGGTGTCTCTGAGTGATGAGTCTGTGGGTGTCTCTGAGTGATGAGTCTGTGGGTGTCTCTGTGTGATGAGTCTGTGGGTCTCTGAGTGACGAGTCTATGGGTCTCTGTGTGATGAGTCTATGGGTCTCTGTGTGATGAGTCTGTGGGTGTCTCTGTGTGATGAGTCTGTGGGTCTCTGTGTGGTGAGTCTGTAGGTCTTTGTGTGATGAGTCTGTGGGTCTCTGAGTGATCAGTCTGTGGGTCTCTGAGTGATGAGTCTGTGGGCCTCTGTGTATGGTGAGTCTGTGGGTCTCTGAGTGATGAGTCTGTGGGTATCTGTGTGGTGAGTCTGTGGGTCTCTGAGTGATGAGTCTATGGGTCTCTGTGTGGTGAGTCTATGGGTCTCTGTGTGGTGAGCCTGTGGGTCTCTGAGTGATGAGTCTGTGGGTCTCTGTGTGGTGAGTCTGTGGGTCTCTGAGTGACGAGTCTGTGGGTCTCTGTGTGGTGAGTCTGTGGGTCTCTGAGTGACGAGTCTATGGGTCTCTGAGTGATGAGTCTATGGGTCTCTGTGTGGTGAGTCTGTGGGTCTCTGAGTGATGAGTCTATGGGTCTCTGTGTGGTGAGTCTGTGGGTCTCTGAGTGACGAGTCTATGGGTCTCTGTGTGGTGAGTCTGTGGGTCTCTGAGTGACGAGTCTATGGGTCTCTGTGTGGTGAGTCTGTGGGTCTCTGAGTGACGAGTCTATGGGTCTCTGAGTGAGGAGTCTGTGGGTCTCTGTGTGGTGAGTCTGTGGGTCTCTGAGTGACGAGTCTGTGGGTCTCTGAGTGACGAGTCTGTGGGTCTCTGTGTGGTGAGTCTGTGGGTCTGTGTGGTGAGTCTGTGGGTCTCTGAGTGACGAGTCTGTGGGTCTCTGTGTGGTGAGTCTGTGGGTCTGTGTGGTGAGTCTGTGGGTCTCTGAGTGAGGAGTCTGTGTGTCTCTGTGTGGTGAGTCTGTGGGTCTCTGTGTGGTGAGTCCGTGGGTCTCTGTGTGGTGAGTCTGTGGGTCTCTGAGTGACGAGTCTGTGGGTCTCTGTGTGGTGAGTCTGTGGGTCTCTGAGTGATGAGTCTGTGGGTCTCTGAGTGATGAGTCTGTGAGTCTCTGAGTGATGAGTCTGTGGGTCTCTGAGTGATGAGTCTGTGAGTCTCTGAGTGATGAGTCTGTGGGTCTCTGAGTGACGAGTCTGTGGGTCTCTGAGTGACGAGTCTGTGGGTCTCTGAGTGACGAGTCTGTGGGTCTCCGGCCGCCACACTTCACCAAAGCTCGTGGTGCGAGATGCCCGCTCATCGCCGTGACAACAACAAGCGCACCGCAAGCCCCCATTGCGCCACAATACAGCCCCCTCTCCCAATCAGCCCTCTCGCCACTCGGGGCGGCGTATAAACTGTGTAACAAGAGGTAATACTATCGTATAAGGCACTACCGTAACTATCACTATCGTCTTTCCTATGTTTCTTATCCTTAACATCAACAACAACAACATCGCCGCCTAAGAAATTCTTCATTGTATAAAATGACAGCCATATCTCTGGCTCCAGGCACTCATGGTGGAAGACACGGGGGGGGGGGGGTGGGGGGTGGGGGTCACGGGAAAATACAGGGAGACACGGGGAGACACGGGGAGACACGGGGAGACACGGGGAGACCCCGACAAGGGGAGACCCCGACAAGGGGAGACCCCGACAAGGGGAGACACGGGGAGACACGGGGAGACACGGGGAGACCCCGACAAAGGGAGACCCCGACAAGGGGAGACCCCGACAAGGGGAGACCCCGACAAGGGGAGACCCCGACAAGGGGAGACCCCGACAAGGGGAGACCCCGACAAGGGGAGACCCCGACAAGGGGAGACCCCGACAAGGGGAGACCCCGACAAGGGGAGACCCCGACAAGGGGAGACCCCTGACAAGGGGAGACCCCGACAAGGGAACACGTGGAAGACGTCGCGGGGAGGAGGTGAGAGTAACTGTCTAGCACACCCCATGTTCATAATGGCCGTGTCTGGATTCTAAGGCACCGTGTTTTGTTTATAATACTGACAAGGCACTACTAAAACAACTACAACGACAGCCACCACGGCAACCACCGCCCTCGGCATCTAAAAACACCGCTAGCTCCACCTGCGCTGACCTCAGAGCTAGACGTAGCCCCCCCGGGGGGGGGGCGGGGGGGGGCGGGGGGGGCATTGTGGGCGGCGTCGTTTTTGTGTCCGCGCGAGTTTTTTTTTTGCTTATTTTTTTTTCCCGTCGAAATTCCGTCGGAGATTTCCTCCGTTGAATTTGACTTGTTTTGATCAAAAACAAAAACAACGACGACAACAACAACAAAAAAGGAGAAATTCATACTAAAAAAAAAAATATTCGTCGAGGGCTCGGGTGGGGGGCGGGGGTGGGGGGGTGTCACAGTTAAACACGCTCTCGCCCCGCGCAAACCGGACACACGCCGACAAAACCTCGGGTTTTGGGGGGGGGGGGGGGGGGGGGGTCACGGTAAAAAATAAAAAAACCCCGACTCGGGCACCGACGCGGACGCCCGGCGGCGCCTTCGCAGGCCCGACGGCACTTGGGACGCTCGCACGCAACCTGGGGGGGCCCCCCCCCACTCCCCCCCCCCCCCCCGGTGACGCGTCGGCGCCTCCGGCCGGTGGCACGGTTGGCTAAGCGCGCGGTGCGGAGGAAGTTAAACGTGCGTACGTTGACCCCCTTTCGCGCCGAGCGCATTCGACGTGCGCTCGGCGTTCAACTCGCGTAGCCGACCACGCCAACCGGGAGGAGCCCAGACACGCCGACAGTCAGAGAACGAAGACGCCCGCCCGCACACGCACACACACACACCACAACACTCGCCGACAAACACGCTCGCACACACACACACACCAAAACACTCGCCGATAAACACGCACACACACACCAAAACACTCGCCGATAAACACACACGCTCGCACACACACACCCACCAAAACACTCGCCGATAAACACACGCACGCTCGCACACACACACACCAAAACACTCGCCGATAAACACACACGCTCGCACACACACACACACCACAACACTCGCCGATAAACACACACGCTCGCACACACACACACACCAAAACACTCGCCAATAAACACACACGCTCACACACACACACAGCCACCAAAACACTCGCCGATAAACACACACGCTCGCAAACACACACACCAAAACACTCGCCGATAAACACGCACACACGCTCGCACACACACACACCAAAACACTCGCCGATAAACACACACGCGCACACACAGCCACCAAAACACTCGCCGATAAACACACAAGCGCTCGCTCGCTCGCTTAATTCACCCACTAGCAAAACTCAACTCGCGCGCGCACGCCACAAATGCAACACTCACCACGTTGTAGCGGGCGAGTGAGTGGGTGGATGAGGTGAGTGAGCGGGAGGTTGTGCGAGTGAGCGAGTGGATGGAAGAGTGAGCGGTGCGTTTGTCAGTGTGCGTGCAAGCGGCGCGACAGTGACTTGTGTCAGCGAGTTCGCCGGCGTGTGAATGAATGCGTCAGTGTACGAGCGTGCGAGTGAGTCGGTAATTGTGTGTCAGTGAGTGAGTGAATGGGTGAAAGAGTGAGCAAGCCAGTGAGTGTACGAGTGATTGTGTGTGCCAGCAAGAGTGTGATTGGGTGAGTCGGTGATTGTGTGAGTGTGTGTGTCAGTAATTTGACGAGTGATCGTGAGTGACCTGAGTGACACGGTGAGTGTGTGAGTCAGTAAGTCAGTGGGTAGGTGATCGTATGAGCGAGCCATCGTGCGAGTGAGCGAGCGATCATGTGAGTGAGTAATCGAGTGAGTGAGCGTGTGAGTGAGTGTGTGAGTAAGTGAGCGAGTGAGTGAGCGAGTGATCGTGCGAGTGAGTGGTGAGTGAGTGTGTGTGAGTGAGTGTGTGAGTGTGTGAGTGAGTGAGTGATCGTGTGAGTGAGTGGGTGAGTGAGTGAGTGGGTGAGCGTATGAGTGAGCGAGTGGGTGAGTGTGTGAGTGAGTGGGTGAGCGAGTGAGTGTGTGAGTGAGTGGTGAGCGTGAGCGAGCGAGCGAGTGGTGAGCGTGTGAGTGAGCGAGCGAGCGAGTGAGTGGTGAGCGTGTGAGTGAGTGAGTGAGCGTGTGAGTGAGTGAGTGAGCGAGCGAGTGAGTGGTGAGCGTGTGAGTGAGTGAGCGTGTGAGTGAGTGAGTGAGCGAGCGAGTGAGTGGTGAGCGTGTGAGTGAGTGAGTGAGCGTGTGAGTGAGTGAGCGAGCGAGTGAGTGAGTGAGCGAGTGAGTGAGTGAGTGAGCGAGCGAGCGAGTGAGTGGTGAGCGTGTGAGTGAGTGAGTGAGCGTGTGAGTGAGTGAGTGAGCGAGCGAGTGAGTGGTGAGCGTGTGAGTGAGTGAGCGTGTGAGTGAGTGAGTGAGCGAGCGAGTGAGTGGTGAGCGTGTGAGTGAGTGAGTGAGCGTGTGAGTGAGTGAGCGAGCGAGTGAGTGAGTGAGTGAGCGAGTGAGTGAGTGAGTGAGCGAGTGAGCGTGTGAGTGAGTGAGCGAGCGAGTGAGTGAGTGAGCGAGCGAGTGAGTGAGTGAGCGAGTGAGTGAGCGTGTGAGTGAGTGAGCGTGTGAGTGAGTGAGCGAGTGAGTGAGTGAGTAGCGCAAGCACCGGGCCGCGTTGCGTCCACTCGCGCCGCTGACCACGGCAGGTTACAGGGCTTAGGTTGAACACCAGTAACAGCCGCCGCCCCACAGCGGAGGGAACCGGTCGGGGCCAGTCACGACTGGTTCACAAACCAGTCACAGGCCGGAGGGGGAGGTCACAAAACCGGTCAGAACCAGCCGGGACCGGTCTGAGGCAGTTCAGGACCAGTTAGAACCGGTTAGGAACTGGCGTGAACCGGTCACGACCGGCCCGGGAACTGGTTAGGGCTGCGCGGCCGTTAGGACGTTGATGTTAGGACGTTAGTTGTTGCTGGCAGCTGCAAATATGTTTAAGAGGAAGACACAGACGGACGGACGGGCGGGACGATGACGGACACAGAGAGAGAGACCACAAGAGACGCACAAGAGACACACACGGACAACACACGCACGCATGGGCACGCAGATACACGTGTGGAATGGAGCCACGGAGAGACAAAGATGGGACAGAGCGGGCACGGATGGACAAATGGGACACGGAGATAGGATGGACGGACAATTGGAACGCAGGTGGACCCGGGGTGAAGACGAGGAAACGGGCGCGCACACACACAGCGACAAAAACACACACACACGGCGACACACACACAGCGACACACACACACAGCGACACACACACACAGCGACACACACACACGGCGACACACACACACAGCGACACACACACAGCGACAAGAACACACACACACACACAGCGACAAGGACACACACACACAGCGACAAGGACACACACACACAGCGACAAAAACACACACACACAGCGACACACACACACAGCGACAAGGACACACACACACACACACAGCGACAAGGACACACACACAGCGACAAGGACACACACACAGCGACACACACACACACACAGCGACACACACACACAGCGACACACACACACAGCGACACACACACACAGCGACAAGGACAACACACACGGCGACAACAACACCCCACGGAGGGATGGAAAATTGTACAAAGATAGACAAATCGACACACAATGGAGGGCACGGAAACACGGACATTCACAGATAAGGACAGACGCACGTAGAAATGCACACAGATAAACACACAGACGCACGCGCGGACAAAAGAATGATGCATATGCATGATGGACAGAGACGGACGTACACACACAGGGAAATGCAGAAGGACGCACGCAGAAGGATGAACACAGAGACATGGACACACACACAAACAGACACACACACACAAACAGACACACACACAGACACACACACAGACACACACACAGACACACAGAGAAGGTTGGACACACAGAGACATGGACACACACACAGAGACACACAAACAGACACACACACACAGACACACAGAGAAGGTTGGACACACAGAGACACAGACACACACACACAGAGACACACAAACAGACACACACACAGACACACAGAGAAGGTTGGACACACAGAGACACGGACACACACACAGAGACACACACACACAGAAGGATGGACACACAGACACGACACACAGAGACACACACACACACAGAAGGATGGACACACAGACACGACACACAGAGACACACAAACAGACACACAGAGAAGGATGGACACACAGAGACACGGACACAGAGACACACACACACACAGAAGGTTGGACACACAGAGAAGGTTGGACACACACACAGAGACACACACACACGGAAGGATGGACACACAGACATGGACACACAGAGACACACACACAGACACACAGAGAAGGGTGGACACACAGAGAAGGTTGGACACACAGAGACACGGACACACACACAGAGACACACACACATGGACACACAGAGGAGGATGGACACACAGAGACACGGACACACACACACACGAGCACCTCCGTTAGCCGGTCGCACACCACAGCGATCAAACCCCGTGCGTCATTCCGATTGGTGCAGGCAGCCGTGCGATCCGACCAATCACGCGCCTCCCCCGGTGGTCACATGGGCCACCCACCAGGGGCGCATCGCCATAAATCAATCAGGCAAGCCCCACGCCCGGGGGGGAGGGGGGTCATGTGACAGGAAGGAGGAGGCGCGCTATTGGCTGATTGGATTACCATTCAATCGCATAGAGGCATGGGCATTGAGAGGGTGAGTGAGCGGGTGAGTGAAAGGGCTGGAGGGTGAGTGAGCGGTAGTAAGTTGAATGAGCAAGGGGGTGTGTTGGTGAGTGAGACGCTGGGTGGATGAGTGAGTCGGCGGGTGGGTGCATGGGTGAGTCGGTAGGTGAGTGAAATGGTGGGTGGATGAGTGAGTAGGTGGGTGGGTGGGTGAGTGAGTAGGTGATTAGGTGAGCAAGTGAGTGAGTAGGTGAGTGAGTCGGTGGGTGAGCGAGTCGGTGAGCGGGTGAGTGAGTAGGTGGGTGAGTGAGTAGGTGAGCGGGTGAGTGAGTAGGTGGGTGAGTGAGTAGGTGAGCGGGTGAGTGAGTAGGTGGGTGAGTGAGTAGGTGAGCAAGTGGGTGATAGGTGGGCGGGTGATAGGTGGGCGAGTGAGTTGGTCACTGAAAGGGTGAGTGGGTGAGTGAGTGGGTGGGTGAGTGGGTGGATGAGTGAGAGGGTGGGTGGGTGAGTGAATGGGTGGGCGGGTGAGAGAGTGAGTGGATGGGTGAGTGGTTGAATGAGAGGGTGAGTGAGTGGGTAGGTGGTTGAGTGGGTGGGTGAGTGAGTGGGTGGGTGAGTGAGTGGGTGGGTGAGTGGGTGGATGAGTGAGAGGGTGGGTGGGTGAGTGAATGGGTGGGCGGGTGAGAGAGTGAGTGGATGGGTGAGTGGTTGAATGAGAGGGTGAGTGAGTGGGTAGGTGGTTGAGTGGGTGGGTGGGTGGGTGAGTGAGTGGGTGGGTGGGTGAGTGGGTGCATGAGTGAGAGGTTGGGTGGGTGAGTGAATGGGGTGGGTGAGAGAGTGAGTGAATGGGTGAGTGGTTGAATGAGAGGGTGAGTGGGTAGGTGGTTGAGTGGGTGGGTGAGTGAGTGAGTGGGTGGGTGAGTGGGTGGATGAGTGAGAGGGTGGGTGGGTGAGTGAATGGGTGGGCGGGTGAGAGAGTGAATGGGTGAGTGGTTGAATGAGAGGGTGAGTGAGTGGGTAGGTGGTTGAGTGGGTGGGTGAGTGGGTGGGTGAGTGGGTGGGTGAGTGGGTGAGTGAGTGAGTGGGTGGATGAGTGAGTGGTTGAATGAGAGGGTGAGTGATTGGGGAAATGGATGGGTGGGTGGGTGAGTGAGTGAGTGAGAGTCAGATATAGGGTAAGTGGTTGATGCAAGGCAGGTTAGGTGGTGCCATGGTTTGAACAGCCCAATTAACTTCAATGAGCCAAGATTAACAAGAAAACAAATACACAGTGAGAGCACGAGTGTGTGTGTCTCGGTGTGTCTTTGATTGTGTGTGTGTGCATTTGAGACTGTGTGTGTGTCTGTGTGTGTGTGTCTGTGTGTGTGTCTGAGTGGTGTGGGGAGCGGTGGGTGTAGCGGTTAGCGCGCTGCGCTATGAACCTGGCGACCCGGGTTCGATTCCCGCTCACGTCCAACACCAGTGACGATTATCTGAACCGGTCCCGGGCCTCCCCTAGGTCGACTCAGCCTCAAATGAGTACCTGGTGCGGTGTGTAAACATTGCCACTAGGAAGACAAAGGCGGTCGGGCGTGGTGCTGGCCATCCACCCCCTCGTGTACCGTTCCGGCCTTCATAGGTGCTCGCTAACAGCACTTGCCCCTACAGTCTGTTAAGGCTATATGGGGGATCTGTGTTTTATCTTTGTGTCTGAGTGGTGTGGGGAGCGGTGGGTGTAGTGGTTAGCGCTACGCTGCGCTACGAACCTGGCAACCCGAGTTCAATTCCCACTCACGGCCACCAACACTGTCAGTGACGACTATCTGAACCGGTCCTGGACCTCCCCTAGGTCGACTCAGCCTCAAATGAGTACCTGGTGTAGCGGTGTGTAAACATCACCCACTAGGGAGACAAAGGCGGCCGGGCGTGGTGCTGGCCACCCACCCCCTCGTGTGCTGTGCCAACCTTCATAGCTGCTGCTGCTCGCTAACAGCACTTGCCCCTACAGCCTGTTGCAGGCTACCTGGGTGATCTTTGTCTTTGTGTGTTCATAGCTGCTGCTCGCTAACAGCACTTGTCCCTACAAACTGTTAAGGCTATATGGGGGATCTTGTCTATTGTGGCTATCTATGTACGTGTGTGTGTCTCCGTATATGTCTATTATATGTGTCTATGTGTGTGTGTATGTGTCTGTGTGTCTGTACGTGTCTGTACGTGTCTGTGTGTGTATATGTACATGTCTGTGTATGTGTACGTGTCTGTGTGTGTGTACGTGTCTGTGTGTGTACGTGTCTGTGTGTGTGTACGTGTCTGTGTGTGTATATGTACATGTCTGTGTGAAGGTGTTCGTTTTGTGTATGCGTGTCTGTGTGTGTGTACGTGTCTGTGTGTGTGTACGTATCTGTGTATGTACGTGTCTGTGTGTGTGTACGTATCTGTGTGTGTACGTGTCTGTGTGTGTGTACGTGTCTGTGTACATGTCTGTGTGTGTGTACGTGTCTGTGTACGTGTCTGTGTGTGTGTACGTGTCTGTGTGTGTACGTGTCTGTGTACGTGTCTGTGTATGTGTACGTGTCTGTGTGTGTATATGTACGTGTCTGTGTGTGTATATGTACATGTCTGTATGAAGGTGTTCGTTAAGTGTATGCGTGTCTGTGTGTGTACGTGTCTGTGTGTGTACGTGTCTGTGAGTGTACGTGTCTGTGTGTGTACGTGTCTGTGTGTGTACGTGTCTGTGTGTGTACGTGTCTGTGTGTGTACGTGTATGTGTGTACGTGTCTGTGTGTGTGTGCACGTGTCTGTGTGTGTGCACGTGTCTGTGTATATGCACGTGTATGTGCGTGTGTACGTGCCTGTGCGTGTGTACGTGCCTGTGCGTGTGTACGTGTCTGTGTGTGTGTACGTGTCTGTGTGTGTGTACGTGTCTGTGTGTGTACGTGTGTACGTGTACGTGTGTGTACGTGTACGTGTGTGTACGTGTACGTGTGTGTACGTGTCTGTGTGTGTGTACGTGTCTGTGTGTGTGTACGTGTCTGTGTGTATGCGTGCCTGTATGTGTGTCTGTGTGTGTCTGCGTGTGTCTCTGTGTGTCTCTGTGTGTGTCTGCGTGTGTCTGCGTGTGTCTCTGTGTGTCTGTGTGTCTGTGTCTGTGTGTGTGTGTCTGTGTGTGTGTGTCTCTGTGTGTGTGTCTGTCTGTGTGTGTCTGCGTAGTCTCACCTCTGTCCCTCTGGTAGGGGTGCACACGGGAGTCGTGGCGCCGAACCTTGGTGGGAACGGCTCCTACACAGACAAAGACCCCCCCGTGTAGCCTTAACATGTTATAGGGGAAACACAAACTAATCAACTCATCACTAACGTAGCATATATGACAACAACACACATTACAACTAATTACTAATCTACAACGTATTACTAACCGTAAACAATTAACTCAATACTCATCTATTACATAGACTCCCCGCCGCCGCCATCTTTAATTTCTGCCCTTGAGTGGTCACAGTAATTGGGTTAAGTTATTAACTAAAACACATCACAACTAGATTACCAACTCATTACTACCATTGGAACCTCCTTTGCTCTTGACGCCAAGAGGTGCGGCACCACGTGAGGCGAGTTGCTGTGTTTTTCGTTTGCATTCCGACCTGCAGGTGTATTGTGGGTCAATGCAAGCACGGCTTTTCCTCGTCAAAACAAAAAAAAATAAGTTGACAAGTTTTGATTTGCCAGGTACAAGGGGTGCAAAAGAAAATAAAAACCAACCCAACAATCATGAACTCGTCACCGACCGTAACAATTGACTCGTCACGAATCGGCGATTACAGCAAACGCCTTGGCATTGCGAGCGAGTGTTTCGCGAGACGGGCTAAAAACGTTTGTCAATAAATATTAACTTCGTTAAGACCTCCTTTGCCAGTACCAAAACGTAATAATAATCATAATAACCGGAGCGTTTTCCCCCTTTTTTCCTGGCAACAAAACTAAAACCCTTCTTTTTTTACGAGGATTCACGTTTACCGAGTTAAACCACAATACCTGCAGTCAAAATGCAAACAAAAAACACCACGTGATCATACACGATGCATTGTCCTTGAAACCGATTGGTCCACACCAAGGGACGGCTTTTCTTTTGAGCCTCGACCCAATTGGTGCTCGACCAGATGACGCCAAAAGGCGTCACACAGCTCAAAGACAACGCCGCTATCAATGTAATGAGGGCTCGGGGTGAGCATCTACATCATCATTAGACCTCCTTTGCCAGTACGAAAATGTAATAATAATAATAGAGGTTTTCCCCTTTTTTCTGGCAACAAAACTGAAACCTTTTTACGAGGATTCTTGTCTACTGCGTTAACCACAATGCCTGCAGTCAAAATGACAAAATGACTGCAGGTATTGTGGTTAACGCAGTAAGCATGAATCCTCGTGAAAAGGTCTCAGTTTTGTTGCCAGAAAAAAGGGGAAAAACCCGATTATTAAATATTGACTTGATAAACGAGCGAGCGAGGGAGGGAGGGGGTCTTAGCAATACGAGCAGCAGTGCAAAGCGTGTCGGCACGCTTTGTACTGCCGAGCATCACGTGATCACAACTGACGTACGAGTGCTTTGATGTACGAGTGCTTTGATGTACGAGTGCTTTGATGTACGAGTGCTTTGATGTACGAGTGCTTTGATGTATGAGTGCTTTGATGTACGAGTGCTTTGATGTACGAGCGCTTTGATGTACGAGCGCTTTTATGTACGAGTGCTTTGATGTACGAGTGCTTTGATGTACGAGTGCTTTGATGTACGAGTGCTTTGATGTACGAGTGCTTTGATGTACGAGCGCTTTGATGTACGAGCGCTTTGATGTACGAGCGCTTTGATGTACGAGTGCTTTGACGTACGAGCGCTTTGACGTACGAGCGCTTTGACGTACGAGTGCTTTGACGTACGAGCGCTTTGATGTACGAGCGCTTTGATGTACGAGTGCTTTGACGTACGAGTGCTTTGACGTACGAGCGCCTTGATACACGAGTGCTTTGACGTACGAGTGCTTTGACGTACGAGTGCTTTGATGTTTGAGTGATTGACGTACGAGTGCTTTGACGTACGAGTGCTTTGATGTATGAGCGCTTTGATGTAACGAGCGCTTTGATGTACGAGTGCTTTGATGTGCGAGTGCTTTGACATACGAGCGCTTTGATGTATGAGTGATTGACGTACGAGTGCTTTGACGTACGAGTGCTTTGATGTATGAGCGCTTTGACGTACGAGTGCTTTGACGTACGAGTGCTTTGACGTACGAGTGCTTTGACGTACGAGTGCTTTGACGTACGAGTGCTTTGACGTACGAGTGCTTTGATGTGCGAACGCTTTGGATTACCAAACACGTTTCCGGAACGAATTATTGCTCGCAATCCCAAGGTTTCACTGCAACAATTATTACAACACCGCCTCCCCTCCTCCACAGAGGCCGATCTTGACACCGCTGGTACCGGTTATCGGCAAGTCCACTCAGCTCCACGTCCTCCTGTACCACATCACTCCATCTCTTCTCTAGCCCGTGGCACTCACCCACCCACTCACCCACCCACTCACCCACCCATCAGCTCCATCTCTTTTCTAGCCCGTGTCACTCACCCACTCACTCACCCACCTACCCACTCACCCACCTACCCACTCACCCACCTACCCACTCACCCACCTACCCACTCACCCACCTACCCACTCACCCACCCACTCACTCACTCACCCACCCACCCACTCACTCACTCACCCACCCACCCACCCATTACTCCATCTCTTCTCTAGCCCGTGTCACTCACTCACCCACCCACTGACTCACTTAACCACCCACCCACCCACTCACCCACCCACCCACTCACCCACCCATCACTCCATCTCTTCTCTAGCCCGTGTCACTCACCCACTCACTCACCCACCTACCCATTCACCCACCCACTCACTCACCCACCCACCCACCCACTCACCCCACCCATCCACTCACCCACCCACCCACTCACCCACCCACTCACTCACTCACCCACCCACTCACCCACCCACTCACTAACCCACTCACCCACCCACCACTCCATCTCTTCTCTAGCCCGTGCCGCGCCAGTTTAGCCCCCCTGTATCCGGCCAATCAGAAGCCGCTTGGGCATTGCGTGAAGGCCGTGTCAACCTTCACTGTGGTGCTGCACTTGCCCCTACAGCCTGTCACAGGCTACCTGGGGGACCTTCGTCTTTGTGCGTGTGTGCGTACCGAGGACTCCCGTGTGGTCCAGGGGATACTCCAGGAGGCAGGGGTACTCGTAGGAGGTGTACACGAGGCCCGGGGTGTCCGCCGGGACCCCGGGGACTCCGGGCACGCCGGGACCCCCCAGCATGGGGTGAAGGGGGCGCATGAAAGGGAGACACATCCCTGGGGACGGGACGCCCGGCACGCCGGGGACGCCGCCCATGCCACCGGGGACCTGGCCGCCTGAGACACGGGGGGAGGGGGAGACACGGGGGGAGGCGAGACACGGGGGAAGGAGGGGGGGAGACACGGGGGGAGGGGGAGGGAGACACGGGGGGCGGGGGGGGAGACACGGGGGGAGGGGGGGGGAGACACGGGGGGAGGGGGAGGGAGACACGGGGGGAGGGAGACACGGGGGGAGAGAGATACATGGGGAGGGGAGACACGGGGGGAGAGAGAGACACGGGGAGAGAGAGAGAGACACGGGGGGAGGGAGACACGGGGGGAGAGAGAGACACGGGGGGAGGGGGAAGGAGACACGTGGGGAGGGGAGACACGGGGGGAGAGAGAGACACGGGGAGAGAGAGAGACACGGGGAGAGAGAGAGAGACACGTGGGGAGGGAGACACGGGGTGAGGGGGGAGACACGGAAGGGGGGAGACACGGGGGGAGGGAGACACGGGGGGAGGGAGACACAGGGAGAGGGAGACACGGGGGGAGAGGAGACATGGGGGAAGGGAGACACGGGGGGAGACACGGGGGGAGACACGGGGAGAGGGAGGTGGGAGAGACATGGGAACAACAAGAGTTAGCCTGGGTGAGTGACTGGACGAGTGACTGAGCGAGTGACTGGGCGAGTGACTGGGCGAGTGACTGGGTGAGTGACTGGGTGAGTGACTGGGCGAGTGACTGGGCGAGTGACTGAGTGAGTGACTGAATGAGTGACTGAGCGAGTGACTGGGTGAGTAACTGGGTGAGTGACTGGACGAGTGACTGGCAAGCGACTGGGTGAGTGACTGGGCGAGTGACTGAGCGAGTGACTGGGTGAGTGACTGAGCGAGTGACTGGGTGAGTGACTGGGTGAGTGACTGAGCGAGCGACTGGGTGAGTGACTGAGTGAGTGACTGGGCGAGCGACTGGGCGACTGACTGAGCGAGTGACTGCGTGAGTGACTGAGCGAGTGACTGAGCGAGTGACTGGGCGAGTGACTGGGCGAGTGACTGAGCAAGCGACTGGGCGAGTGACTAAGCGAGTGACTGGGTGAGTGACTGGGCTAGTGACTGAGCGAGTGTCAGGGTGAGTGACTGGGCGAGCGACTGGGCAAGTGACTGGGTGAGTGACTGGGTGAGTGACTGAGCGAGCGACTGGGCGAGTGACTGGGTGAGTGACTGGGCGAGTGACTGAGTGAGCGACTGGACGAGCGAGTGACTGAGCGAGCGACTGAGCGAGTGATTGAGCGAGCGACTGAGCGAGTGACTGGGCGAGTGACTGGGCGAATGACTGGGCGAGTGACTGGGTTAGTGACTGGGTGAGTGACTGGGTGCGTGACTGGGCGAGTGACTGGGTGAGTGACTGAGCGAGTGACTGGGCGAGTGACTGAGCGAGTGACTGGGCGAGTAACTGGGCGAGTGACTGAGCAAGTAACTGGGCGAGTGACTGAGTGAGTGACTGGGCGAGTGACTGGGTGAGTGACTGAGTGAGTGGCTGGGTGAGCGACTGAGTGACTGAGCGAGTGACTGGGTGAGTGACTGTGTGAGTGACTGGGCGAGTGACTGGGTGAGTGACTGGGCGAGTGACTGAGTGAGTGACTGAACAAGCGACTGGGCGAGTGACTGAGTGAGTGACTGGGTGAGCGACTGAGCGAGTGACTGGGTGAGTGACTGAGCGAGCGACTGAGTGAGCGACTGAGCGAGTGACTGAGCGAGTGACTGGGTGAGCGACTGGGTGAGTGACCGGGTGAGTGACTGAGTGAGCGACTGAGCGACTGGACGAGCGAGTGACTGAGCGAGCGACTGAGCGAGTGACTGGGCGAGTGACTGAGCGAGCGATTGAGCGAGTGACTGAGGGAGTGACTGGGCGAGTGACTGGGCGAGTGACTGGGTGAGTGACTGGGCGAGTGACTGAGTGAGTGACTGGGTGAGCGACTGAGTGACTGAGCGAGTGACTGAGCGAGTGACTGGGCGAGTGACTGGGTGAGTGACTGGGCGAGTGACTGAGTGACTGAGCAAGCGACTGGGCGAGTGACTGAGCGAGCGAGTGACTGAGCGACTGAGCGACTGGACGAGCGAGCGACTGGACGAGCGAGTGACTGAGCGAGCGACTGACTGAGCGATTTACTGGGCGAGTGACTGAGTGACTGAGCGAGTGACTGAGTGATTGACTGGGCGAGTGACTGAGTGACTGAGCAAGTGACTGAGCGATTGATTGGGCGAGTGACTGAGTGACTGGGCGAGCGAGCGACTGGGCGAGTGACTGAGCGAGCGACTAGACGAGCGAGCGAGCGACTGAGCGAGTCGACTGAGCGAGCGATTGAGCGAGTGACTGGGTGAGTGACTGAGCGAGTGACTGGGCGAGTGACTGAGCGAGCGACTGGACGAGCGACTGAGCGACTGGACGAGCGAGTGACTGAGCGACTGAGCGAGCGACTGAGCGAGTGACTGAGCGACTGGACGAGCGAGCGAGTCATCGAGCGAGCGACTGAGCGAGTGACTGAGCGAGCGACTGAGCGACTGGATGAGCGAGTGACTGGGCGAGTGACTGAGCGAGTGACTGGGCGAGTGACTGAGCGACTGGACAAGCAAGTGACTGAGCGAGTGACTGGGCGACTGAGCGAGCGACTGGACGAGCGAGCGAGTCTTTGAGCGACCGACTGAGCGAGTGACTGAGCGATTGACTGAGCGACTGGACGAGCGAGCGACTGGGCGAGTTATCGATCGAGCGAGCGACTGAGCGACTGGACGAGCGAGTGACTGAGCGACTGAGCGAGTGACTGAGCGAGCGACTGAGCGAGCGACTGAGCGAGTGACTGAGCGAGTGACTGAGCGAGTGACTGAGCGACTGAGCGAGTGACTGAGCGAGCGACTGGGCGACTGAGCGAGCGAGCGAGCGAGCGTCTCACCCCCGGGCGAGGCCCCGCGCAAGTGGAACTGCTGAGCCCCGGGCCCCGCGAGGTGAAGCTGCTGGGCAGCGGCCGCCGCGGCCGCCAGGAAGCGGTGGCCGTGGGCGGCCGTGAGTGGGGGCCCGGCCATCGTGAACGCCATGGGCGGAGGAGCAGGCACCATGGAGGCTGTGACGGGGATGGGCGTGGTTAGCGGTCCGCCGTCTCAACGTCTCCGCTTCTCGCTAACAACACCGAGCTTCTGCGTCTCGCTGCCGGCGAGGAGCCGCCGCCGCCGCCGCTGCCGTGACAGCGGAGTGGAGATTCGTAGCGGAGAGGCCCACGGAGATACGTAGAGATACGTAGAGATACATAGAGATACACAGAGATACGTAGAGATACGTAGAGATACGTTGAGATACATAGAGATACGTAGAGACCCACAGAGATACGTAGAGATACGTAGAGATACACAGAGATACACAAAGATACATAGAGATACATAGAGATACGGAGAGATACATAGAGATACATAGAGATACGTAGAGATACACAAAGATACATAGAGATACGTAGAGATACATAGAGATACATAGAGATACGTAGAGATACACAGAGATACACAGAGATACATAGAGATACATAGAGATACGTAGAGACCCACAGAGATACATAGAGATACGTAGAGATACATAGAGATACACAGAGATACATAGAGATACGTAGAGACCCACAGAGATACACAGAGATACATAGAGATACACAGAGATACATAGAGATACGTAGAGATACGTAGAGACCCACAGAGATACATAGAGATACACAGAGATACATAGAGATACATAGAGACCCACAGAGATACACAGAGATACATAGAGATACATAGAGATACGTAGAGACCCACAGAGATACATAGAGATACGTAGAGATACATAGAGATACACAGAGATACATAGAGATACGTAGAGACCCACAGAGATACATAGAGATACACAGAGATACATAGAGACCCGTAGAGATACACAGAGACACATAGAGATACGTAGAGATACATAGAGATACATAGAGATACGTAGAGACCCACAGAGATACATAGAGATACGTAGAGATACATAGAGATACACAGAGATACATAGAGATACGTAGAGATACATAGAGATACACAGATATACATAGAGATACGTAGAGACCCACAGAGATACATAGAGATACGGAGAGATACATAGAGACCCATAGAGATACATAGAGACCCATAGAGATACACAGAGACACATAGAGATACATAGAGATACATAGAGATACGTAGAGATACACAAGGATACATAGAGATACGTAGAGATACATAGAGACCTATAGAGATACATAGAGATAAATAGAGACCCATAGAGATACGTAGAGATACGTAGAGATACATAGAGATACGTAGAGATATGTAGAGATACATAGAGATACATAGAGACACATAGAGATACACAGAGATACATAGAGATACGTAGAGATACGTAGAGACCCACAGAGATACATAGAGATACACAGAGATACATAGAGATACATAGAGACCCACAGAGATACACAGAGATACATAGAGATACATAGAGATACGTAGAGACCCACAGAGATACATAGAGATACGTAAAGATACATAGAGATACACAGAGATACATAGAGATACGTAGAGACCCACAGAGATACAAAGAGATACACAGAGATACATAGAGACCCGTAGAGATACACAGAGACACATAGAGATACGTAGAGATACATAGAGATACATAGAGATACGTAGAGACCCACAGAGATACATAGAGATACGTAGAGATACATAGAGATACACAGAGATACATAGAGATACGTAGAGATACATAGAGATACACAGATATACATAGAGATACGTAGAGACCCACAGAGATACATAGAGATACGGAGAGATACATAGAGACCCATAGAGATACATAGAGACCCATAGAGATACACAGAGACACATAGAGATACATAGAGATACATAGAGATACGTAGAGATACACAAGGATACATAGAGATACATAGAGACCTATAGAGATACATAGAGATAAATAGAGACCCATAGAGATACGTAGAGATACGTAGAGATACATAGAGATACGTAGAGATATGTAGAGATACATAGAGATACATAGAGACACATAGAGATACACAGAGATACATAGAGACACACAGAGACACAGAGATACATAGAGATACATAGAGACCCACAGAGATACATAGAGATACATAGAGACACACAGAGACACATAGAGATACACAGAGATACATAGAGACACATAGAGATACATAGAGACACACAGAGATATATAGAGACCCACAGAGATACATAGAGACCCATAGAGATACACAGAGACCCATAGAGATACACAGAGACCCATAGAGACCTATAGAGATACATAGAGACCCATAGAGATACACAGACCATAGAGATACAGAGACCCATAGAGACACACAAGAGACCCATAGAGATACATAGAGACCCACAGAGACACATAGAGACCCACAGAGACACACAGAGACCCACAGAGACACATAGAGACCCACAGAGACACACAGAGACCCACAGAGACACATAGAGACCCACAGAGACACACAGAGACCCATAGAGATACATAGAGACCAACTAAAACTAAATAATTAATGTTTCCAGGTGCAAGGCCCCCCCATAAACTGCAACACGGCTCAGGTTTCACGTTCTTTTGCACAAAGTGCTACAGAGATAAACTTTGA